CATTTATACTAATAATTCTGTTGGCTACATTTGTGTTTCAAGGTGAGCAGCCAAAGTAACCTTGAGCTACCAACTGAACTCCAAGTTCATTTTTTAAATGTCAAGTAAAATGACAAAGAGCTGATCTCGTCCGCTGACATCAGTGCCACCCAGACTTTCGTGTCCACACGGTGACTAATTATATTCAGCCCACGCAGGCACTGGCTTGCCATCTCTTCCACTTCCCCTTTCCTATCAGCCGTTCTGCTTCCTCCACGGCATTTCAACCTGTCCTAGCAGGTGATTTGGAAGATGGAGCATTCAGTTCTCCTGTCACTTCAGAGATGTCACAGGAAAGCTGAGGCTTTCTTGTCACGAGTCAACAAATATGCCCATGATGTGTCAGACCTAGTTATTCTAAGACCTAGGGAAAGAGTATCTCTTTATCAGACAAGAAAGAATTTAGTCCACTTCTCTTGAATGTGGGAGATTAATTAAACACTGCAGGGAATACTCCCTATCCTGGCTTAGAGGAGGAGACCCAAACTGTTCAAAGCAGGCACCTTGATGAGCTTCCCCCGCCAGCTCCCCAGCCCACCTCTGTTCCTTTGCCACATGGGAACAGCTCTGTATGCACCGAGCCTATCCCAGACCTAGATCGAGCAGGGAGCCCATGTCCTCTGTGATGGGAACAAGAGAGGGCTGTCCATGTCTCTTTTCTTGACAGTCAACCCTTGATATTGAATGACATTCTACTGCTTTCTGAATGGGGAGAGGTCTCTCTTGAGAAACTGACTTTCAATTACTTTATTACTTGCCCCGCTAGAGGACTAACCCCATATTCATTTAAAAACCAATAATAGGGAAAGCAGAAAAAGACTTAATAAATTAACTTAAGTTATTATGTATCTATCATCCAACGGTTCCATATAGACTCAAAGCCATAATCACCTGGTTAAATTAACAATGAAAGACTTCATTAAATTCTGAATTCAGGATTTATTGAGTATAGCATTTTACCTGCTACAGTTTCTGGGTTTATTACCTGGGAATCCCAGTACTAACGGACAATAGTCCTTAGCCTCCCAGAAACGAACATATAACATTTTATCATCCTCTTATTTTAAACATGATGCTACCTGTCTATTCTGGCTCCACTTAAGTGAGAAAGTAGAAAAACAGAGCATGACTAAAACAAAATATTACTGGCAAAATGAATGCATAAACAAAAATTTGATTTACTGTGAAGTGATATCTAAGCGCTCTTCCATTAAATTAATTACAAATTAATAAATGTGTACACAACCTCAATTTTCAAAATGGATTTTGCTAAGCAACTGAAGATTTACCAGAGGATTCAAGTAGACAAGAGAGAAAGGCCAAATCCACTAGTCCAATAACTCCTCCAAAAGTTATAGAGAGACTTAAATAGCCATGTATAAGGAGCTGTGCTTGTAGAAGTTTTAGCTTAATAATGATAACTTTTTCACAATCTCTCTTCTCTTCCACCTTATTCCTGAGACTTACCTTGAGCAACAACAGTGGTATAAAGATGATAACCCAACTGTAATTTGAAACAGCTTAATGTGATGAGGTATTCTGGGAAACTAGAGTGCTCTAAGGCATAAGCCTGCACCGTTTCAGGCGACAGAAGCAGGCGGAGAATCTGCTGTGACAGAATCACATTGCCAGCATTTGAATCCTGGCTACCTCTCACTTACTAGCTGGAAACTTTGAGCAAATTCTGTAACCATTCCGAGCATCAGTGTGGCTCATGTTAAGGTTACATAAGACCATCTGTAGGCAGTGTCTCCTGGTCCAGCACCATGAAGGGAGCTCAAATGCCCAGTTACTGTAGCGGGGCACACACTGAGTGCTACAGGCACATAGGATAGTACCCACGCATTCCAGGGACCGGGTAAAGGTCATTTACAATTTAATAATTGTGCCAATTAAGAATTTCTACTTAGCTAAAACATGTGGTACCAAAAGTTACATTTTATTTGGTATTTAATTTATCTAAAAGAAATGTTGAAATCAGAAATGTTTTGAAGTGGGAGCAAATAGGCTGGCAAAAATATCAGCTATGGGCCATTTGGTTTTAGGCATTCTGTTGTGTGTGTTTTTAATTGCAGTGTTTTTCCCTAAGCCCTCAAACTATCTTTTAAAAAAGGAAATGTTTCTCTTTAAATTACAACTGACACACGAAGAACCACAGCTACTCACGCCTCTCCCCTTTGGCCCCAGCCAGCGCCCCCTCCACCCCTTGTTCAGCTCCTGCCAGCAAAGGCCTTGAGGGCACTGAAAGAAGGTTCTGGAATAAGCAGACAATTCTAGGCACCCCTTTACAGTCTGTGTTGAGGAGGGAATGTTTGTGCCCCACAATCTTCATCACTCCACTTGCTGTTAACCAGCCACTTGGGTGCCGATTGGCCCTCTCCCTTTGACACAGAAGTGCTCACCAGGTAAACTCACCTGCCTGCCTAGTGTGGTACCTGTGATTCCCCACGGGGACCAGCCAGACTGCTTATGGCAGGTCAGAAACATCTGCTTCATATATAGAGACAGTCACCCTTGAATGGCTTTGGAATAACAGAATCCATGATATTAAGGAATACACTTTTTAAGTAGCAGGAAAGGCTAGGTAAGAAGTGGGAAGGGGGTTCTTGTACCTGTTTGTATGTAACTCAGTTTCCTAAAGTGAGGATTAAAAATAATAACTACTTCATGTAAAGGCAATAACAATAACAGCAGCTAACCTATGAGTACCTACCATGGCCATGCACGGTTCAAAGCACTTTATAGGCAATAAATGAGCTACTACACAAGCAGCACTCAAAAAGATTAGTCATTACCATTATTTCTAAACTTTTGTTTAGCATTAGACTCTTCTCTCCAAACAAAATCTTACTTAGAACAGTATCTAAAACAGGAGGGTGGAGAGCAGAAGTGTTTCATATATAGCTGGAGTGGGGGGATCTGGCTGATGGGTCCCCCAGTCCACACTGGGCATTCCTGCCCCCCACCCCCACCCCCAGCCAGGCCAGCCCCTAGGGACCACCATAGAGTCCTGCAGCTCCAGGGAACACCACTGAAGACTAGAGTCTCAGGTCTCCCCTCACATTCCTGCTAAACAAATGGATGGTCAGTGGTGAAGAACCACAGCTCACTGAAGCAGAAATAGTAAACATGGCTACCCAAAACCTCTGTCCATCTCTGCCCATTCTGTGGGTTTTCTTCTGCTATTGCCTGTTTTCTTTTTATTGTCCAGTATTCCTTGTTATCATTTGCCATTATCTCAAAAGCAAATCTTGGTCCCTCTCTTACCAAAAGAATTAGGATAGGTTAAAAAGCTGTAGCATCCCAGCTTTTGGTAAGTGATTTCAAACTACCTTTCCCTTCAAAACATCATCAAACAAATAAGGGAAACTATGCTCCTAAGTCCCTGGAGGTTATGTTTGGGAGAGAAAAGTTTTCCATAACCTGATCCTTGAATCACATTCTTCCACTGCCACACACCAGCTGCAGACGCCACAGGCTGGAACAGAGAAAAGAATACTCGCTGGGTTCATAGTGCGGGCACACCTTGAACTTGGTGTATTGGAGGGAAAAATTCCTGGTGATTACGTTAAGCCCAGAGTGGATACCTTTCTGCCTCCCAAAGCAGCTTTTTCCAGCTGTGCCCCTACCTCCATTTCCAACTTTGCTTTTTCTGCCAAAATAAGGCAGGGAGAAGGGAAGAAAATACCTAAGAAAAAGTTCAAATGAATACACCCACAGGAAATATTTGGCTAATTCCATAATAATCCAAGGTGCAGAAAGGTTGGAAAATGAGTTCATTTTCCAAACTTTTGAGAGTGGGAGGTAAGTCAGTTAGAGAATTCTAGAGTGGGAGGTCCTTAGGGACCAGCCTCAGGGCAGTCCAGAGTGGTTGTGTCTTCCGGGCACGCAGTCCTGGGCAAAATGATGTCTAAAACTCATGTCCCGACTCCCAGAAGGGCGCTGTTTCCACTACACCCAACAGCAAAACCCCCAACTGTTTGCTGTGTGACTCAAAAGCTCCTGCTGGGAACCAAGAGCAGCAATTAATAAGCAAATCTGGCGCCTGCCAACTTCCCGTAAACACTGCAGTACCTAGAGCCCACACTGTGTATGTGAACGGGCATGCTTCCAAAATTCACCTGTGTGCTCACGCCCCTGGGGAAGTCACCAGGGAGTTACAGAAAGGGAATGGCTCAAAGTTGAGAAGCAATTATGCTCATCTTCTCGGAGCTGGGACGCCAGGGCACAGCTGAAGGACGGCAAGGGAAAAACTCTTCATTGCTAAGGTGAGGACCCAGCTGCCAATTCAGACGGCGCAGACGCCGGGACACAGATGGTGTGCCCCAGACCTCAGAGATCCGACTTGTTCGCGACCTGTGCCATACTGTGCTGCTGCTTTGTCCTTGGTGGCTTTTTGTTAAGAAGCCAGTTTTCTATTGTGAAGCGAGTCTCGATTGGTGCGATGGTGTGGCCCACATCCTCTGCCAGCAAAGCGCGAAACCCATCAACTTCCCTCCGACAACAATCAAGTTGTCAGAGGGGACACCGAGCAGGGGACACCGCCGCTCCACGGAAGCTGAGCCCGACAGCAACCGCTGCCGGGACCCTCCACCCCCTCCCCAATCTCCTCCCCACCCCCGACACACACATCCCGCAAGACGGCTTTCTCTTTCCAGGAACCTGCCTTCCCCACCTAGATAGATGACTGGCTGCCTGGACCCAAAGAGGTCTGCCTCGCGAGGACGCTGTTTCTTATTCAGGTGCGATCCCGGTCCCAGCCGGCTGCCCAAACCCTACAGGGGCTGTGGAGGTGCAGCCCGTCACCGTCTGCGCCCTGGCCAGGTGTCCGGGATCTCCCGCAACTCGGAGCGCGGGCCCTGTACCCCAAACCCGCAGCGACCGCCGGCGGAGGAGAGCGCGTCCCAGGCTTCCCGCGGCCCCCAGCCTCGCCCCGCCCCATCGCCCCGCCCGCGGCCCACCTGCGGCAAGGGCGCCCGGCCGTTCCGGCTGCTGCGCCTGCGGGGGGCTCCTCCGCGCCGCCATGCCGGCCGCTCGCTGCGGACAGGCGCGGAGCCTCGGTCCGTGGGTCTGTCAGCTGCGGCGGCCGCCCGCCGGCGCCGGGGCTCGCTTCCCGGCGGCGGGCGGGCGAGGGAGGCTCGGGGCGGAGGGCGGTAGCCCGCACTCCCGCCCCAGGCCCCTCGGCAACTGACTGACGCCCCGTTCCACCAATGGATGGCCGCTGCGGAGCCTAGGGGCGGGAGCCTGGCGGGGAATGGGCGTGGCCTCAGTTCAGAGTTTGGGTCCCGAGCCAGGGCCGAGCCGGGGCGTTGGATGCTAGATACTGGTCTAGGGGCTGCTCCTGGGATCCAGGCTCTACTCCAAGGAAAACAGCCTGGGATTTCCACCTGGACGGATCCCGCAATCTCCCTGGCACTTTACACGGATGGCCAATAGAGTGGGAAGGAGAGAAACCTGGAGGGTGGGATGATGGGGGAAGAGGAACCAGTGCCTTTTTCCTCTCCGCTGCAAAATAACAGGATTCCGTTTTCTGGCCCTTAGGTCACATCGCTGGTCGGTCGAAGCCAAAGGAGGGAGAGACTGGAATCAAGATGTAGCTGTTGGCCCAGGGCCTGTTTCACTCGATTGGGCAAATTTTCTAATCTTTATTTCCCTCTGGGTCAGCAGAACCGGGTTGTGCTTAATTAGAACTTACAGTTTACTTTAGGAGTGGGAATGTGTGCGTTACTGACAAAATTAATCCTCTAACAAAATGATTTAAAAAGGGAAAAACATGGGAGCAGCAAACTGTGAAAATGAACAGCCCAACAATAAAAAGGCTCACAACAAGATTCTGTTGCCCCCAATTTCCTAGCCAGATGGACAGCTCCTCCCTTTTCTTTCTCAGAAGAAAAGGGAAGAAAGTAAAAATCCAGTGAACACTTCCTCTTTTTCCAATATTCACAATTCCAGAGACAGACTTTCTTGTGCCTGTTTTGGCACCTTTTGAAACAGAAATTTCCTAACAGAAAGATTTGGGAAAACGCCCTGAAATTTTAGGTGGTTCCAGTGCACTTAGACAATGTCTACAAGTAACAGGATCACTTTCCCCCTTTTCAGAATCTCAGAGCAAATGACTAGCAATCACAAGTCTTTGGCGAATGCAATAAAATTCTGAATCAGAGCAACAGCAATTAATACAATGTTAGCCATTTACTGATAGGTGACATCAGGCCAGGTACTAGGGTAATTTTTTACATATTATTTTATGTATTATTTCACTTAATCCCCACCGTTGCCAATGAGATAGGTAGTGTTATTTTCTCCAGTTTATAGATAAGGAAACAGACTCAGTAAATATTAGTGCAGTGTTTGAATCTAGATCTGATCTCTCAACCACCCTACCATTCTGCAACCATGACTCATAGAAGATAATAAAAATGTTCCCAAACTCTGCTGCATGCTTAGGAAGAAAAAAAAAAGATTTTAACATAGAGGGTAGTTTTCTACAGCCATAACTTCCGTGTATAGATCTATGTTACTCATAAAAAACAAATGACTTTAAATTGCTGTGCCTAATTAAAGCCAAACAAAGTTATGAGCAGTGATGAGTACAATTGCCTATTTTAGAAGCTGAAAATAGTAGGACTAATTTCTTGTGGTAAAAAATAAAATAAAATTTACTTAAGTTTTTAAATCATAAGACAAATTAGCCAGTAGATTCTCTCCTCCCCCCAGAAGATAATATTTATGAACCCTGTTTGGACTCAGCCAAACAGAATGAATCTTTTCAATTCACTCACGCTCAGTATTTCATGGTTTGCTGTTCATTGTTATTCCAAAAGCTGAGTTGGAAGCCTCTTAGCATGGTACTTACAGACCTAGACCTTGAAGCCAGATGGCCTGGCTTGCCTGCATGTTAGCCATAGTCTTATGCAATTATTTAATGTGTTGTGCCTCGGTTTCCTCATCTGTAAAACAGGGTTCATAAGAGAGTTTCTTTTTCATGGGGTGGGTTGTTATGGGGATAAAGTGACTATATATGTGCAAAATCCTTGAGTAATGCTTGGCACATAATAAACACCATATATATATATTTGCCAAATAAAGAGCATGTGACTATACACAGAGATTTGCGAGTGGCTTTCTGAACTACCCACGTGTAATTCAGCAAATGTCTGAGCAATTATAAAGTTACTGATTTTTTTAAATACCTAGATCATGAGCTCTTTGAGGGCAAGAACTCTGATCTATAATGCCTAGTGTCTAGCTTAGAGTTTGAATATTGGTAAATGGGTTAATTGAGAATGTGGTGTGAGGCCACATAAAGGTTGCCTCACACTCAGCAAAGACATCTGTAGCAGTGGTCTCAACTGAAATGTTGACACAAATAATTACATTCACCAAAATACTGACCTTAGAAAACTAAGAACAAAGGTAGTGCTTAGCATTGTACCTAGAAGCCACTTGACTGTGACTTTGGAAAGCTCAGAATGTGTGACCAGGGCAACAGCTACTTCAGTTAGTCACACGTAGGATTCTGATATGGCCCAAATCAGAATAAAGGAAGAAAGGAGGAAAGAAACCAAACCAACCAACCAAATAAACAAAACAAGAGGACCTCATCAATAGCTCTTTGCAAATGTTTTCTTAGAATTTTTCTTTTCACAAAGTTTTGGCCATCTGAACTCTGAAAATGGAATGTCAACCTCCAGAATGTTTGAAGACATTACAAAATGTATTTTCCATTGCTATGCTAAGCCCTTCATTTTACTCAAGGGTCACTAATTCATACCTGGGTCAGCCTCAAGCTAGGAAAAATGGACGTGGGAAACCCACTCTACCTTTGGGCAGTGATTGCAGTTTTCATTTCTATGGAGAGTTTCCTTGGTTGATTGACCTCCACTTAAACATCCTCCTCTAATAAGGATGTCGCAGAGGAGTTGCTGGTCAGTTGCTGTAATTCCTGTACCAACAACAGTGCCCGGCACGTGGAAATTACTGTCAACATTCTTTTAATGAAAATATGAGTGAACATGTGAGTGAAGATAATGACTGGACTTACTGCTAAGAATCAGTGAAATTTTCCTACCTCTACTCACTTTCAGTTGTCCTTATCCAAATTCATTGTCTTTGTGCGTGTGTGTGTGTGTGTGTGTGTGTGTTGAAATATCTAAAATATAAAATTTACCATTTTAACTTTTTTAAATGCACAGTTGAGTGATATTAAATACATTCACACTGTTGTGCAAATATCACCAACCATCCACCTCCAGAACTATTTGCATCTTCCCAAACTGAAACTCTGTACCCATTAAACCATAACACTCCATTTCCCTCCCTCCTTCACACTCAGCTCCTACCACCCATCATTCTACTTTCTGAATTTGGCTACTCCGGGTACTTCATATAAGTGGAATCATACAGCATTTGTCCTTCTGTAACTGGCTTCTTTCACTTGGCATAATAATGTGTTGAAGATTATTCCATGTTGTAACATGTGTCAGAATTTTCTTCCTTTTCAATGTTGAGTCAATATTCCATTTTATGTATATATCACATTTTTTATACATTCATCCATCAGTAGACACTTGGGTTGTTCCCACATTTTGGCTATTGTCAATAATGCTGTGAACATAGGTGTACAGAAATTTCTTTGAGTCTCTACTTTCAGTTGTTTTGGGTATAAACCCAGAGAGGGAACTGTGGGATCATATGGTAATTCCAAGTTTAACTTTTTGAGGAATAGCCATACTGTTTTCTTCAGCAGAAAACACCCCTACCAACAATGCATAAGGGTCCCAATTTCACCACATCTTCTTCAAAACTTGTTATTTTCTATTTTTTTTAATACAAGGTAGGGCAAAAGGTTTACAGTTGTGAGTCCACAAAACACAGAGTTTATTCTTATATTATTATTTATTAATTACTGTATTATTTTCCATACCAACAACTGTAAACCTACTTTTGCCCCACCCTATTAGAGCCATCCCAATGTGTGTGAAGTGGTATTTCATTGTGGTTTTGACTTGAATTTTCCTAATGATTACTGATGCTGAGCATCTTTTTATGTGCTTGTTAAACATGTGTATATTCTCCTTGGAGAAATGTCATTTAAGTCTTTTGACTATTCATTGTCTCTGAAAACATTATGTCACTACTGTTGATATTCATACAAATTAAAATTTGAGACACCCTTATCTTTCTATTTTCATTCTACCTTGGATCTGAACGTAATTTCATGAAGTCCCTGAATAACTATGAAAAAATTTATTCCAAAATCAGTTAAAGTTAGTTTTTCTAATAGAGGACTGTATGTAAAGGTTAATAGGTGGTGATGATGAAGATGATGTATAATTGAGCACTTACGTAGCGCCAGCCTCTGTAGAGTACTCTACATGTATGAATTTATTCTACCTCACCCTGCCCTTTTGAGATATGTACCATTATTATTCCCAATATACAAACAAAGAAACTGAGGCAAAAAGGGTTTAAAGTATCTGGAACTAGGTCTTTCCGCTCCTAAATGGCAGTTTGGGATTTGAACCCAGCTTCCAGAGCCATATAGAAAGTATCCTCTAAAAAAATTACTATTTCTCAGGGACTCAATGACTCCCCAAAAGCCATGACTAACCTCTTTCCTGAAGAGGTAATGCTAAACGAACCAGTCCGCTCTGCATCATGCCAGTCCAGGACGCAGGTGAGTTGCCCCATGTCCGCCATCACAGCATAAGGATGAGCCAATGCTGCAATGGTGAACCTAGTGTGAGGTCAAGGCCCAAGCCAGCATTTCACAACAAATGCTGAGAAATCCAGAGGGCCAAGGCAGAGATAGGGAAGCCAGGGAGTGGAGCCTAAACAGGCAGGGAAGCCAGGAGGGTGCTCGAGAGGGGCCCACATGGCAGGAGCAGAAACAAGTCTAAAGAACCCTGACGTTGTCCAGCAGGTGCTGGCAGAAGTTTCTGTGACTCCTTCCACTGGGTCCTTTCAGTTGTTCAAGCTGGGGCCTCATACTACAACTCAAAATGTGTTCCTTGGTCTGGGATTTAGTCTACTGTAAATATAATCCCAATCAACCAAATGACACCACTATCCT